GCCAGACTGAGAAAGACAAGCATTGCATGTTCTCTCTCATATGTGAAATCTAGATTTAAAGCAATAGTGAATGACAGCCATGTAAAATGCCCATTACAAATTGTTCAAAAAAGGGGAATAGGGAGATAAGAAAGAACAACAAGGGGTGAATTTGATCAAATCACATGAAGACATCACAAGTAAACAAACCCCTTTGTATACACTAATAAAAAAGAGGGGGAAAAGCCAAATAACAAAAAACTATTTCCTAGGTTACACTTGTATTGAAGGCACTGATACTGAAATTTTTCCCACCTAAGTGAAGGGGATTAGACTTAAATTTTAATATACTATTAATACTCATTATTTTAAAAAATCAGCTTCATGCTTCTTTGTTCATCATTTTCAAAACACAATTTTAAAGTTCGGAAATTTTTTAAAAAATTATTTCATTCCTTGTGTAAGACTAGGGCTAATGGTTCTTTGGATCCAGCCTGTCTATGCCCAGTGAATGAAATGCAGCTGGGCTGGGTGAACTGCAGCTGGGCAGCAAGGGCCACTGGGAGGGAGGGTAGGGGCTACCATGACTTCTCTAAGACACACAAGTCCTTCTGATTGAGAAGTAGGGGAGCACAGCCTGGTTAGGAACCTGGCGTTGGACTTGCAAGGAACTAGAATTTCATACAATGCTGCTGCTTTTAGACAGTATGATTTGGAGGGCAAGAGCTTACCTCTGTAAGCCTCTCAATAGCCATCGTATACTTTTGCCATTTGTAAGATGAGGCATTAGGATGCTTGCCTTGAGGGCTCACTGAGAATTCACAGAATTTGTGGAAAGCATTCAGGATAGTGCCTCACGTGTGGGAAGCTTCAGGAAGTAAGAAGTCATAGCTGGGGGCCTTTGTGATCCTTAGCCTCCTGACATGGTCTCAAAGAGTGGGCTGCCTTCATCCATCCAATGACACAGGTACCATATACTGGCATTAAGAGGTGACACAGGAGGAAGTATGTCACACAAGAGCTCCTGGATCCTCAGTATACCCCTGAGCCAATGTTAGTAGGGGAGAAAGGAGGCATGGAGAAGTTATGCAATGTGCCTAAGATCGCACAGCTAGGAAGAAGTGAGCAGGAAGAGCAAGTTCTCCTAAGACCCTGGGTCTTGGCCAAGGAACAGAAGCCATGGTGCATTCTGGGCCTCTAAGTAGCTGCCTGTAAGAGGAGCCTAGGCCCTGACCAGCCAAAACCATAGTCCCCAGGAGTAAAAGAAGCTGTGAGAATCTCCAGGACTTCAGGGAGATCTTATTCTTTGCCACAGATCCAGAGGCCCACATTTTGTTTCCAAGAGGGTACAGAACATAAAAAGAAGAGGACGTCATGTGGAAGAGCTTCTCTTTACTAGAGCTTAGAGGATCACAACCAGAGAGGCAGCCTTGAAAGACATTCCTCTTGACCCTCCCTGGCCATAAGAACAAGCATTCTGCCAGTCTCATGCAACAGGGTTCATGGTGACCCCGGACCCAAAGTGGGAAGTCAGGCAACAGGAGATTTTGACACCTCTTATCCAGTGGGAGGTTCCACCTGAAGCCCTAGGGGTTCTTCCCACACTGAACCCCATGGTGTCTACTTCAGAATTCTCTTGGGAGGTACTGTGTGCTGTGGCCAGTGGGTGAGCAGTGGGGCATGGAGAAAAATGTCTGAAGGCTGCTCTCCCTAGGCTGAGCTAGAATGCACTCAGGGTGCTCAAAAGATCTCAGGTTGGCAACCCAGGAAAAAGTGGGTATTAAAAACCCTGTAACTAGCACCCAGGATGTATGCTGCCCTCTACTCCTTCTGACACACTTCTCCTTAGGACTCTTGTCACTTACAAACTTTGACTTTGGCCAAATCACAATCCCTCTCTACACTTCATTTTCTTCTGTACAATATGGATGACAACAGGGGTTGTAGTGAGGGGTCAGTGAGGAAAGGAGAACAGTGCTTGACACACCTGTGTTTTCAGTGAAGGCTGACTATTCCTGCCCACTGTGTAAGGTCCCAGCAGACATGTAAGGCAGAGACTATGGGTGACCAAAGGCAGGGCAACTCAACCCTCCACTCTGGAATCCACAAGACATCCTGAAATTCATCCATTCATTTGCAGTGGGCACTAAACAACTACTGGCCTAACCAGTACCAACCCCCACACTGGGAACTGGGGATAAAGGGACAAACAAGACCATGTCACTGTCTTCAGGAAGCTCACAGCCTTGTGGAAAGGACATTTGATAGAGGGCAGCAGAGGGCTGGGGAGGCCCTGCAGAAACTCCTGATCCAAGCTGGATAGTCAGGATTCCTGAAGGCGACATGAGACTAAATCTGTGAGGATAACAGGTAGGTGACCAGGTGAAGCTGCAAAGAGTGGACAGAGGACTCCCCATGTGCAAAGGCACAGAAAGGAAAGAATACACTATGGGATTGGAGGTTGTGTTGGGGTGGTGTCTGAAGACAAAGGACACTATTTCACAGCAAGGGCAACACAAAGACAATTAGCTGAGGGACTCATGATCACATAGCACAGCCTAGAGGCTCATTTTGATTTCCAGGGAAACCCTAAATCTCCAAGAACTGCTTCAAGGACCACCCTGTGGGGCCCTCCGATTCCTCCCACCACCCCACTGAGACCAGATCAGCAGCAGCAGCCACTCTGTGAAGGCAGGTTGCTAGGCAACAGGCCCCACCCCTGCTGCTGCCCACCTGCCCTCTCCAGGCAGCTCCTGCCAGTGTGTCTGGCAAGGAATGCCACAGACTGCCTCTGGAATATTTTTCTGGCTTACAGCTAAACCCCAGCCATTTGGAATGAACAGGCAGTATTGTCATTGGATGCTGGTTTCTCTGCTTTCCATCCTTTTCTGTCTGAAACTGGCCCACTCTAACCACTCCAGGACCCTGGCTGGGCATCCAGGGAGGCAGAGCCTGGGGAAATAGGCAGGTCAGTCCAATTGAAGATGTTGGTCTGTATTAGTTTATTTACTTGTTTGTTTGTGGCAGGATTTTGCTATGGAGCCCACGCTGGCCTTTAGTTCACCATGTAGCCCAAGCTGGACTGGTCTCATGAGCCTTCTGCTTCAGCCTCTTGATAGCTGGGATTACAGAAATGGAGGGTTATGAGGAGGGCAGCAACAAGAGCAGATATAGTTTCTAGTGCTTATGTTGTTGCTGCTAGAAGACAAATTATCTGGAGTGTGAGCTGGTTTGTCTGGAAGGGCTTCAGAACACAGGAATCCACTGACCCAGCAGGACAAGGAACCATGGTAGAGACCATAGGAACACTAAAAGTAGTTAGAGGCTCTTACAACTTGGCTCACATCAGGGGGAAAGCAGGCCTCCCATCCTGAAACCAGCAGGCTGGGGGCAGCACTGGGGCAGGCTCCTGCCCCACAGTTGATCTTTTCACCCCGGGAGGCACCCCAAGGCTCCAGAAAAGATGCTGAGTCATTTCCAGATCCATCAGATCACAGGCCTAAAACTGAGAAACTCTTCCCTTCCTGAAGTCCTGTGGGTGGGACCCCTACAGCAGGAAGATACTTCTCAGAAGACCAAAGCCTTCCCTCTCAAACCACACAGGCTAAGTAAACATCCATTTCCTAGTATTGGTCTGGAGTGGTATAGACAAAGACTATTCTTGTGTTTACTTCTGTGTGTGCTGATCAGAAATGGGAAAACAGCTTTATTGATTAATGTAGCCTGGTTGAAAAGTCTTTCAAAATGTGGAATCTAAAATAAAATTTAATGTAATGAAAAAGTAAGGTTACAATCCAGCCCTACACCTTGCTATACTAACTAGTCAGGGTCCAGTTAGGATGGTGAGGCCAAGTGGACCAAGAAGGCAGGTTTTCTCCCACTCTCCCAGGGACTTGCATTACTGTGGCCTCTAGGGCAGGACAAGCATTGGCGGGACTTACAGTTCAGCTCCCAGGCCAAGCTATTCCAGACTCACTGCATTCTAAGGTCAGGCTATAGCCAATGGCAATCTGCAGGCCTCAGGTCTCCCATGCCTGCTTTCACCCTGCTGAAAGCTTTTTACAAAACAGCAACTGAACAATTCCCAAGATGAAGCCTGGTTCAGTATCTTCCAACAGAACACGTGGCCCCACTTGGCACACTGGTATTGGGAGAAGTTAAGGTACTATTTCTCAGTGATCCTTCTGTCCTAGTTCCCCTGAATCCCCTATCCAGGCTCCTGCTGAACACAGTTCTCTGTCAGGATTAAAGAGAGAACAGACCTTCCACAAGGATTTTCACTGCTTATTTTATTTCAATAGTCAACTGTCCCCAGACAAGAAACTGCTGACGTAACAGGCGATTTACTGTACCATTCTATTCTCTGAGAACTGCTTGAGTGCTTCTGAGCTGCCTACTATAAAAACATTCAATAGTGAAACTCGAACAGATTTTTAAAACCAGAAATGGCTTAAACTTCAAGGAGGGAATGTGAAGTGGCCCCAGAGGTCAGGATGCTTACTAACAAAACCACTGGAGAAGAGGCGAGGGGCAGTGGCTGTGCAAAGGCAGGATGCTGCAGACCTGCTGTCAACATCCTGGTCCTGGTTGCTTACACCAGCCATGTGGATGGGCTGGGGGTCTGATGTCTGAAGTACCCTAGCCCTGGGGACCAGGCAAAGAGGACAGAAGGCTGAAATAGATAATGCCTTCTGTTCTGAGAGGGGCCTGAGGAAATCAAAGGCCACCTATGGGGGTGAGCATAATAAACAGCATGACTCAGGATGGTTAAATTCATTCCTATACGTGAGATTCACCAAGCCCCCACTCCTCAGAGCCCTGGCTCTCTGGACAATATCTTCCTCCATGCCTCTCCTCAACCCCAAGCCTTAGAAATCACCCTTCTCCTCCTATCTTGAATGAGAATTAGCTGCTATCTTATACCTATCAATACCCTTACTCCCTAAACAACACTGAACACAGACAAGAAAATCATTGCTGTAACACCCAACTCCCCTGCTGGCCTGGAGGACAATCTGGGCTTAGTCAGACTGCTCCTGAGATGATGATGGCTGGCTGGGCTCACAGGGCACTTCTGCATCCTGGTCACCTGTAAAAAACAAACAAGGTGGTGAGATTTAGAAAGAGGGTGAATTACCTACTTTCAGAGGCAGATTTTCTACAAGACTTTCTCATCATTCCTAGCCTCTGTGGAGAATTTGTCTTTAATTTGCCAGGCAAGAGACTGGCATCTGACCTTGGCCACAAGGTAGACTCAAGTTCTACCTCCAGCTCTGTTCCTTACAGCCAGGTACATTAAGTAAACCCAGCTCTGAACCCCAGTTTGCCCTTCTGTAAATGAGATGGCACCTACCTTGCTCAACAGCAGGGGGACTAGATGGAACAGTAAGTGACAACTAACTGTCACCAATGCCTTCATGGCTTCAGGTTCTAAGTCATTTGTAGACTAGTTAAATGAGGTAGGGACCATTATTAGTCTGCTTTTGCAGATGCTGAAACTGAGGCACCAAGGAAAATGCACTTGTCCAAGGTCACACAGCTAATGAGTAAGGGAGCCCAGTACTCATGCTCAGGCCACCAACACTGGGCCAAGCATCTTTAAGCCACACTATACCAGCACATATAGATATTGCATACACAGCAAGTGTGAAACACACCTGAGTTTCCTCTTCAGGAAAATGGGTGTGATAGCCTAAGCGCATAAGATGGTTCTGACAGTTGTGTTAAAGACATCCTTGAGATTAGCAGCCTTTTCCAAATCACAGGAGGCTCAGGGAAAATTGAAAAGAACAGTCCTAGAACCTTTCATTCCTGAGGGCTCTCAAAACAAATCCCAGCATGTTTTCACACCCGTATGTGTAGCCAATCATGCTACAGGTGAGAAGACTGGGCTCAGGGCCCAGATGTCACAGGCAGTAGTGGCAGAACTGTAAGGCAGGCTCTCCAGCTCTTTTCTAGGTCTCTGTAGAGTGACTCCTAATGTGGCTGCAAGTTCAGCCTCTGCTGCCCCTGCGGAGACACCCTGGCCTAGAGGCCTGGCTTCTTTGGTCTGCTGAACATACCATGGGTATGTGTCCCCACACCTTGCCCAGAGGGCTGATAAGGCGAGGGAATTAGCACTGAACTTGGAGCCAGACAGAGAACCTGGTTCAAATCTCAGCCTGCCATCTACATCCACCAGAACCTACTGGGGATTGGATTTCCTCATCTGGGAATCCCATTCCTGCCTCCCTTAGTTGCATGCTTATTGGGGGAGGGTATGGGATGAGTTTATCCAGGGCCCAGCAGTTTAACTTTTGTGCCTTATATCCCTTCTCTCTATACCCACTTCGATGGCTCCCTTTCCTCCACACAAAATCTTCCTGGCTCTTCTAGAAGCAGAAGATGGTGGTCACTTACCAGTGTTCTCCTTGTCAGTATCAGACAGGATGGTCAGTGAGAAAGACGGTGGTGATGGTGGCGGTGGTGGGGGTGGGAGGAAGTGGAGCGCAGAGAGAAAGCCTGGTGGGAGGAACTGGGGCTGTGGCACTGGTGGCAGGTGGCGGCGGTGGTGGTGGCGGAGGGTAGAAGGTTGGCTGGAAGTCTCCAACTGGTTCTGACACCTACATTACAAATGCAGCAGAGAGGAAGAGAGGGACAGTCAGCCAGGTAGGCTAACTAAACACACCTCTGATTCCCCCAAATGGGGGACTCCCCCTGGGGTAGTCACATTTCTGTGACCCAAGACACCCCAAGTAGGGCACTTGGAACAGGGTTTTCATAAACACCTGTTAAAGGACTGAAAGTACGCAGAAGGAATGTGCAGGCCTGTCTCAGATAATCCTAGAGACCAGCTGAGCAGGACGCAACTGCACCCTCTGCATGTGCCAGAGGGATGGTACTCAGATCCTTACCACACTAGGTGGGTTCTATTACTACCCTGGGTGTTCTGATGAAAAACATGTTCAGTGAGAGGATGCTTCAGGCCCAGGGCCACAGAGCTGGTCAGAGGCAAAGACAACTGCATCCCAAATCTGTGTGACCCACAGCCCACTCAGCTGATCATGGTGCTGTGGAAGGGTCTCAATGCAACCTAACCTGAGGGCCCCTTATCTGGCACAGGTAATGACTTTAACCAAAGTGTTCTGGGGGGGGTTGAGGGGGGAAGATTTCAGCAATCTTAGTGTAGCCCAGCCGTTCCTGAGGTCGAGAGAAGCTGGGTGACCTCAGGCAAGTGGCCTCAAGGACCAGACCTGCTGTTCTTCTGCTCTTTAGTGGCACTAAGCCTGGCCCACAAAGAGAATCTGGAGGGGATGCACAGCCCAGAACTTCACCAGGAAAACAGGGTTTAATATGAAACTGTCATGCATTGTGCAGGTGGTTATCATTTATTTCTCTAAGTTGAGACTTCAGAGCAGCACATCCCAAGCAGTGACTCAGGGGCCTCTAGTCCTGTGAGGTACTGTTAAGTGCTCTAAAAGTGTTCTTTGTTGAGTGAGTTTGAGAAACCCCACTTACTGCTCACCACAATGGATGGTTAAATGTGAGTATAGTTAAGGCTCTGGGACTCTATAACATACCTTAAATTAAGCCAACATTTCCTAACATTATTCGCCCACAAGGAATGGAAGAAAGTCCCTTTTTAATTAGCTACTATGCATCAGACCCTGAGCGAGGCACACCTTATTTAACCTGTTCATGAGACAGATATTCCTACCACCCTGACAGACTAAGAGCCAGAGAGAGGTCCTGGGAGGGCACTTTCCCAGTGTGCACGGCTGGTAGATGGTGGAGGTACTAGTGCACCCTAGGCCTGTTCAGATCCAGGGCCTGTGCTCTCTCACGAAGAGGAGACTAGAAGAGGCAGGTGGACAGAGACAAGGATAAGAAAAGGAAGATGTCCCTAAGGAGTGTCTCCAGTCTGCACAAGGGGCAGCAAGACATGGGTGAAATTGATTTAGTCTCTTGGGTTTGGAACAGCCTCACAAATACACATGTGATCCTCCCTCAAACATGACAGGGGTGGGAGGGAATTATTAGTGTTTTAATTACAAGCTGCTCAGCCAAGTCTCTCCCTGGATCACAGCTCTTGCCTGGGGCCTGTGGTGGCAGCTTGGGCCCAGATACCCAACTGAGTTCACACTCTTAACAAAGGCGTCTGGCAAGCCTGTCAGTCAGAGCCCTGCCCTGGACGCCAGGCTCAGGCTTCTGTACGAGCAGACAGTGTGGTGCTGGCTCTGCTTGGCCACAGCCCCTCTCTTTGTGTGGAGACTGGCAAGGCTCTACTGAGTTGCAAAGGGGTAGCCAAAAGAGGCACCCACATCTATCAGGCTGGGCAGCCACAGGTAGCTTGAGAGTGAGGGGATATACCAGGTTTGTTCTATTTCTGCACGACAGACACACTTGAGGCGGCAGAAAGTGCCTGGGAGCTCCAGAGTCTGGGTGACTCTGTGTGGTACACATCCTCCCTCCACATCAACGGTGTGATCTGAATTCCAGTCCCTCATTCGGTAGTCCTGTGACCTTGGTGCTCAGGAAAATGAAGGCCCTTGTCAGTCACTCTTGAGCTTCCAAGCCATTTCGCCTCCATCTCTGTAGAGAACACATGCCACAGCCCAGGCCCAGAGATGCAGTCCTGTCTACATGTGTGCGCTCCCAGAGGCAAACCATTTATGACCACTGGCTTCCTGGGACTGAAGACCAATAAAGGCAGAAAGGGTAGATTGGATAAGGAGTCCAGAAAGGAATCAGGGTTGGGACTCACCAAGCCTCCTTCATGGTAACGGCTACAGGAGACATGCCGGAAGCCCCTCTGCGGGGGCACCCCTGGGGCTGGAGATGCATCCTGGTAGCCCAGTGAGAATGGGCGATAGGAGTGCATGGGGGAGCAGCTGGGGTACAGCTTGGAAGTCCTCTCTCCAGGTACTCAGCCCCTACCACACAACTGGAGTTGATGCTTACAGGATGCCCTGAGGAAGGCAAGCAATGAGGGAAATATTAAAAACATAGAGCTGGGTGGGAAAAAAAGCATTGCATAACTTACTGCCCCAGATGACAGCATAATAAACACCCATATCCAATTGCCCATATTCAACTAAATTCTTATGCTTTTGACCACACTGCCCTTTAATCCTTCAACCATGCCTCGCTGCTCTTGCAGCCATTCCAAGGCCTCTGCAAATGCTCTTCCCTCAGCTTGGAAGGATTTTTTTCTACCTACTCACTTTGCCTCCTAAGTCCTCAGCACAGACAGTCCCTGACTTATAATTGTTCGACTTAATGATGTTTTGACTTTACAATGGTGCAAAAGTGATATGCATTCGAGTTTTCATCTTTTCCCCAGCTGGCGATGGCGATATGCAGTAAGATATTCTCTTGAGATGCTGGGCATCAGCAGTGAGGTGCAACTCTCAGCCAACCAATGGATCACCAGGGGTAACAGCCACTACTCCATGGTAGACTGTGTTACTAAGCTAGGATGTTCAGTAGGTCATGTGTAGTAAATACATTTTTTACTTGGGCTATTTCCAGCTTACAATGGCTTTATCAGGACATAAACCCATCATAAGTTGAGAAGCATCTGTATTCAACTCTTCCTTGAATGACAAGTCATCAATTACTAGAGCTCTATACATTGATTGGTGTGATTCTTTTATCAGTGTTGTTCCTCCCAAAAAGACAATGAATATTAACTGTGACAAATACTTGAGAGAAAAAGTTTAAAGGAGGAAGGATTTATTTTGGCCAACAGTTTCATTCCGTGGTAACTGGCTCCATTGTTTATGGTTCATGGTGAGGCAGAACATCGTGGCAGAAGGATGTGGCAAAACAGAGGCTTGCCTCATGGCAGCCAGGAAGCATTAAGAGAATGCCTGTGCATTCTCTCCTTCTTCCCTTTTATACCATCCAGCACCCCAGGCTATGAGATGGAATTACCTGCATTCAGGGTGTTGTTTTCCCCACTGAGTAAATCCTCTATGAAAATACCCTCACACACCCATAGGTGTGCTTTACTAATCTCCCTGGCCCTTCACAATCTAAATCAAATTGATGATCAAGATTAACCACCACTTCATACCACTGGTGTTGAGCACATTGTGACTGCTCAATTCCCATTTGCTGAGAAATAGAAAAAAGGCACTCCCACATCCTTGGAACTGCTTTTTCATGTCTGTTTTCCCCCATTACAGAGCTAATAACCTGGGGACCTACTCAGAAAGTACTAGAAGGCAGAAACTGCCTTCACAGCACACCCAGACAAAAATCCCTTAGCATACAGAGGGGAGAGACTGCCACTGAAAGAAGGAACTTGGCCAAGGTTACAGGGTAAGCAGCCTCCTGACTCAGGCCTGTGCCCTTTCTACACTGCCATAGGAAAAAGTACCAAGAAAACACAAGTCTGCATCCAGTAAGCTGCATTTTTTTCAAACCTCAAATCTACATGTGACTTAAAATTACACTGGAAACAGTGCAACAGAGGAACGGATGCAATTTACGCACACGGTGAGGGAAGAAAATAAAGCAGCAACTACATCTCACGGGATCAACTGTTCCTTCCAGCACACCAAGACAAAAGCTGCCTTCTGCCCATCCCAACCTGAGAAAGGGTGGGAAGGGGGTGCGCAGGCGCACTGGGGCAGAGCGCTACTGAAGGGCGGAGCCTCCCACCACGCAGCACAAAGAGAGGGGAGGGGCGCGCAGGCGCACTGGGGCAGAGCGCTACTGAAGGGCGGAGCCTCCCACCACGCAGCACAAAGAGAGGGGAGGGGCGCGCAGGCGCAGTCAGAGCCCGGGCCCTGTGGAAGGAAGAAACGCAAGGGCCAGCTCACCCAGGCGCCATCTTTTTCTTGCAAAGTGGAAAGGCAAAATCTTGAATCTAAATGTTCAAAGCCTCCCCTGGAACACCCATCCCCCATGCCTCTTTTTTAATTTTCATAAAGGGGCACTCCACCCAAATCTGAAGGTTTTTCAGGGCAACGCTACCTCTGAAAAGCATTTTGCCCAACCCAGCGCAGGCCTGGGCCGCCAGTGTGGGAGAGCGGGAGGCCACAGGCCCGAGAGGAACTGCCGGAGGGGGCCAGGCCGCGCGGGCCCTTGGGGCTCTTACCGAAGTCCGCGAAGTCGGCGAACGGCGGGCCGGCCACGGGCCGCAGCGGCCTGCGCAGCTCCGGGCGGCAGGGAAATGCCCTGCCCGCGGCCTCAGGCGCGAGCTGGGCCGCCGCGCGGCCCGGCAGCCAGGCGCCGGCGCGTTCGCTCGGCCCCACGTGGCCGCGGCGGCCCAGAACCGGCTGGAAGGCGCTCGGGCCGGGGCTTCGGCCGCGCGGGGGCCTCGCGAGGAAACAGGCGGCCACGCGGCCCTCGGGGCCAGGCCCGGCGCCTTCGGAAGCCGCCAGAGGAGGCAGCGGATGGAGGCCCGAGCTTGGGGCGGCGGCCGCAGCCCCGGAGGCCAGCTGGGGCCCCTGCGCGCCCAGAGCCGCCTCCTGCTCCTCCTCGGCGGCCTGCTTCTTGAGCACTTTCTGCGCAGCCATGATCTTCTGGCGCTCCGTGATGAGGTAGCACTTCTCGCAGATGCACTGCTTCCAGCGACACTTGCCCGCGTGGCCCTTGACTGGCACCAAGAAGCCATGGTTCCGGCACCTCGAGCATTTGGGGGTGCGCAGCATCTTGTCAGCCAGCTTGGCAAGGTCTGTCTTCATAACACAACCGTCACCTTTGCGAGCTGCAGAGCGAATGGAACAGGATGAGCGGCGCCCCACAAGTCCCTGGTGCTGGGGACATTGGATACACTTGTAGCAAAACAGCTCGCTCTGTCCCGGGAGCTGCAAGACTCTTGCATTTCTCCTGGTTTTTTGGGTGCAAAATTTGCAGAGTGCCTGTGTCTTGGGTAATTAGGTACAGAGATGGGGCTGAATAAATTCCAAATGGAATGCTATTGCATTTATGTCATCTGGATTATCTTGAGTCTAAAGCGTTTAAATTTTCTAAACTTTCTATTGCCGCCAACCCGTAGAGGTATAAAACAAACAACCAAACAAACAAACAAAAAAAAGCACGCAGATATTTAGTGATCCACAGATTTAAAACTCCTGAGGAATATGGTTCCTGTAAACACGTTCCTGTAGCAAAACAGTGGAAGAGGCAAGCCATTTTTCTCCTCTCCAAAGTTACTGATTCTGCAGAGGAGGAGCCATTCAAGTGATACTTCCAGAATGTTCTCAGGTGCTTAGTGCAGTGGGATGGTTGCCCAAGGGTGTGCCCTTAAAAAAGTTCTGAATTCTTACCAGTCTTGCTGGTGTAGGGATTGTGGAAGATAGTACATTCCTGTTGTTGACACCTTTCAAAGTAAAGCTTAACTATGTTCTAAAGTGAAATAGACAGGATATTGTGGCACTAGCTTGAGTTTTAACTCTTCTGAATTTAGTTATCCATCTGAAACACCCCAAATCTTGTGAAATGCTGGCACAAACGTCATAGTTTACCCAAAGACACTATTATTCATACACTTTTTTGATAGAAATTTGGGATCGTCTGAGGTCTTTTGGAGGTATCAAAAAAAGAAAAGGAGGACCTATGCTTAAGCACTTATCATAGGATGTTTTTTTAAGGAGGTATTTATGGTTAATACGTAGCTTAAAACGCATGCATTTTTCACTGGCCTTCTTTTGAATCGCTGTCGTGATAAGATGGTAAAAGCTTGGATCTGAGATTGACCTTGATTCTTCTGATCTCTAAGTGCATCTCCACTTTAATTTCTCATTAGCTGCCTGGGAATAGGAAAAGTTGCCATTGTGACATTTATTAGACCCTAAAGAGCTGAGAAGAGTTTCATAAAGTCTTTTCCCATACTTTAAAAAAAAAAAATGTATACATATTCCTGACTAGCCCTGTGACTCATGCCTGTAATCCCAGCTACTTGGGAGGCAGAGATAGGAGAACTGAGGTTTCAAGCCAGCCTGGGGAAAAAGTAAGTGAGGCCTCATCTCAACAAGTAAACCAGGCATGGCAGTGGATGTCTATGATCTCAACTATAGTGAAGGTATAGGTAGGAGGATCTTCCAAAGTCAGCTTTGGGACAAACATACAAGATCCTATCTAAAAAATATCCTGAAGCAAAAGCAAAAGGCAGCTCTGCCTAGCAAGCTCAAGGCCCTGAGTCCACTACTCATCTTTCTTTCCTTTCTTCCTTTTTTTTTTTTTTTTTTGCTTTTAGTTATTTTTCACATCAGGTCTCACATTTTTGTAAGGGGTTGCTTCAGACCAAGATCCTCCTACCTATGCCTTCTGCATAGCTGGGGTCATAGATACAGACCAGCAAGACCAGCTTATTGGCTTACTGATTGAGTTGGGGGCAGGGTCTCACTAACTTTTTGCAGAGGCTGTCCTTGAACCGATATCCCGCCAATCTATGCCTCTGGAGTTTCTGGGATTTACAGGCATGAGCCACCATGCCTGCCTTCTTCTCACTTGATAAGAAGACAAAAGTGTGTTTCCTGTATTATTTGGCCCTTCAGGAATTTTACTGGTAGCTTCGCATCCATTTAAAGAGGTCTAAGTTTGTTTCTGTTTTGCTCCAACACCTTTTATGTTAATCCTGTACTTTAAAAAATATAGTTCTTTAGATAAAGGACAGGCAAGCTCTTTTTCCAACTCCACCAATGTTAAAAATGTCTTTTTTTATCATTGATCTTGTCATTTGAAAATGGTACTTAAAAATTATAGTTTCAGTAATGTCAAAAAATCTACAGTATATGCTGCATTGTCAGTGATACTGCAGATTGTAATGTCTTTTTTGTGTGTGTGTGGAGGGGTGGGGGGTCCTGGGATTTGAACTCTACTTGCTTGAGCCACATTTCCAGGCCATTTTGCTTTGAAGCAAAATGGAGATGGGGTCTCCAGAACTATTTGCCCAGGCTGGCCTTGAATCGAGGGCATCTTCCTGATCTCAGCCTTCCAAGTAGCTAGGATTACAGGCATGACCACCGGTGTTCAGCCATAAAGTCATTTTTTACATTATCACATTTAAATTTGAATATCAGGTAACATTGGATCATAAGGCCTAAAAAGGAAAACTACTCATTTACATTTCATGCTTGACCACCCAAGTTCTCTTTATTTTCTCATTAATGATTTAAAGGAAAATCCTGCTCAAAACAAGCTATTTGAGTTAACATAGTTTAGCCTTGTTAAATACAAAATGCTTCCATACTCATGTAGCAGCTTTAGGGGCAAAATATACCCCAGGTGATACGAGTTTGTATAGTGCTTTGAGAACATTAATAAACAACCATATATCTTTTTAATCAGTAGTCACATCAGAAGATGCAGAAATCCCAGGGTTTACACAGTAAACAAATCTAAGAAGAAGAAAATGACTAGTTTATTGCTCTCTTCTCTCTAAAGTCTCAATTTGTGTAGGTATGTTTCAACAGAGCTTTATTTATTTTACTCTGGGAAATTTAGGCAAATTGATAGTTTTGTTTTATTTAGGTTGATGCTAATCACTTCTTAGGCTGCTGCTCTTTTAAAGAAATGTATATGTATATTCTGTACATTTTTAAATGGTTATTTTAAAAAGCAGTGACATGATATAAAAAGTGGGAAAGAGCTGGGCAACCAGTGGCTTACGCCTGTAATCCTAGCTACTTGGGCGGCAGAGATCAGGAGGATCATGGTTTGAAGCCAGCCTGGACAAATAGTTTGTGATACCCTATCTCGAAAAAACCCTTTACAAAAAAGGGCTGGTGGAGTGGCTCAAGGTCTAAGTAGGCCCTGAGTTCAAACCCCAGTACTGAAAAAAAAAAAAGTGGGAAAGGATGAGTGCTGGGGGGTGTGGCTCAAGTGGTATACCATCTGCCTAGCAAGCACAAGACCCTGAGTTCAAACTCCCTATCCCTGCTAAAAAACAAGAATGGGAGCAGTAAGTACATGGTAGAGAGCTCCCCTCCCCCAGCACTTAAACCTTGGGACATTTATGCTTAAGAAAGTCTGCACCATCAAAGGCAATGGTTATAAAGTAACAAGTCCCAGTTGCTAAGGAACTGCCAGTTTGTCTAAGCACTGAGGGGCAGCCCTTAGTGATGATATCTGATCACTTCACATATGGCCACCTTTCTCTCAGGGCCCCAAGCTTCCTAATGCATCTTCTCCAATAACATGATAGCTATCGGTGCTGCTGGAGTCATACTCACTTGAAAGAGGCTGGCATTCTGTAGTGCTCTAGGGTATCACTTATAATCATTAAAGACTGCATGCAGTAGAATGCTTCCTTGCTGGTAGCACACGAGTAAAAAAGGGATTTTTTTTCCCTCTAGCATCTTTTCCCCTAATAGCTCTAACCCAGATATCTACTCTCTTTCTCTTCTCCAGGTTCTCTCTGGTGAGCAATGAAAACTTTATTGAAGATTTCATAGAGAAGGTGGAGGGGAGGATTTACACATTCGACACCAGAGGCTTCGATGATTGCCTCAGCATTTATGTTCCCTCAAGGCCCCACTCTGCTGAATCAGGCCCCCTGGAGTTTAACTGGCCTGTACTCCCCCCACCCTAGTACCAAGCCTCTCCAGTTCCTCTTTTCTTGATTTTTTTGTCATCCTCTTTAATAAAGCCTGTGTTATTTTCCATTGTGTCTAGCACAAAGTAGACACCCAGAAAATACCTGTGGAATGTTCAAATGAATCCTGCCGTCCTCTCGTGCCCCAGGTGGCAGAGGAAATCAGTTTGGCTTCAAGCAACTTTCCCCAACCAAACTGCAAGTGTTCAGCAAAACAGAAAGCCCACAGTAATCAGGACCACTCTTCTGATAGGCAGAATTGGAAGGTCAGTTTTGGTTCTTTGAGCTCATCTCACACCCATTATGGTTTAATAAGAGTAATAATAATAGGCAGCACTAAGTGGCTGTGTGTGCCAGAAACTCATAAATCCTTCACGTGCATTAGTACACAGAATCCTACAACAGCGGTCAAGTTATGTATTGCTACTGTCATAGCCATTTTACACATGAAGAACCTGAGGCCCAGAGAGGTTAAAAACTTCCCAAGGTTTCAGAACCATGATTCACAACCAGGAAATCTGTGCTCAAGGTCTATATTATTTTATTTATTTATTTTTGCAGAACTGGGGCAATATTCAAGTTATTAATTCTCCTTTTTTTTTTTTTTCTTTTTGTGGTACTGGGGTTTGAACTCCAGGCCTTCACCTCAAGCCACTCCACCAGCCCAGTTTTTCATGATAGGGTTTTTTGTGATAGGGACTCAGGAACTATTTGCTTGGGCTGACTGCCATCCTCCTGATCTGTGCCTCCTAAGTAACTAGGATTACAGGCATGAGTCACCGGTGCCCAGCTCAAGGTCTGTATTCTTAACCATATATTTGCTAACCCAAAGTTTCTTCTAAACAAAATAGTGCTTTCCCCAAAAAAGCTTTGTTGAATAGAAGTGTTTGTCATATAGTCTTCATTACTGTTGGGGAAAAAAAGGGCTGAAAATGGTAGCAACCTGGGGAAACTTCCTGGATGTCCTCCCTGCTTATCGGCTTTCCCCAAACCGTGGCCAATATTGATTGAATGGCAATTATGGATCAAGCATAAGGCACCCAAGTAAGTAAAAAGATAGGATCTTTGCCTTATTCTAGCTTATCCTTGCCTTTATCTAGGTAGTAAAATAATCCCAGT